CCCTTCGGCGTGCTCTACTCCCGCTTCGCAGGACCTTGTGTCTACATGGGCGCGCGGCTCTTGATGGCGCTCCTCTTCGCGACGCTGACGGTCTGGCAGGCCGCGCTGGTGTACTTCTGGGTATCGCTCCTTGCTCTGGTCATCTGCCCGTTCTTGTACAATCCCCACCAGTTCGCATGGAACGACTTCTTCATCGACTACCGCGAGTTCCTCCGCTGGCTGTCTCGAGGCAACTCTCGGTCCCACTCGTCCTCGTGGATCGCCTTCTGTCGCTTGTCGCGAACCAGAATCACGGGTTACAAGCGCAAGGCACTGGGTGATCCTTCTGGCAAGCTGTCTGCCGACGTGCCCCGTGCGGCTATGACCAACATATTCTTCGGCGAGATAGTTTCTCCCCTGCTGTTGGCCGTTTCGACGACGCTCCCCTACCTCTTTATCAACGCGCAGACCGGTGTCAGTGCGAACGACTCGGACGCGACGGCCACGAACTCGCTCATCCGCCTCGCCATCGTCGCGTTCGCGCCGATCGGGATCAACGCAGGAATTCTAGCTGCTATGTTCGGCATGGCCTGTTGCATGGGTCCCCTCCTCAGCATGTGCTGCAAGAAGTTCGGCAGTGTTCTGGCAGCCATCGCCCACGGCACTGCGGTAGTCGTGATGCTCGTCTTCTTTGAGGTCATGTTCTTCCTCGAGGGCTTCAACTTCACCAAGACGCTGCTCGGCATGATCGCCGTCGTCGCGATTCAGCGTTTCATCTTCAAGCTCATCATCGCGCTCGCCCTCACGCGTGAAATGAAGTCCGACACGGCCAACGTCGCGTTCTGGACAGGCAAGTGGTATTCTATGGGTTGGCACTCTCTCTCTCAGCCAGGCCGTGAGTTCCTCTGCAAGATCACCGAGCTGAGCATGTTCGCCGCGGATTTCATCCTGGGACACTGGCTGCTGTTCTTCATGCTGCCTGCCATCCTCATCCCCAAGATTGACATGCTTCACTCCATGATGCTGTTCTGGCTGCGACCAAGGTATGTGAAGATATGCGGACCCCTATATCGCTTCCCACGCATGTGCTAACACTTGCAACAGCCGCCAAATCCGCCCGCCCATCTACTCGATGAAGCAGTCGAAGCTCCGAAGGAGACGCGTCATTCGTTACGCCGTCCTCTACTTCACCATGCTCATCCTCTTCGTCGCCCTCATCGTCGGCCCTGTCGTTGGTGGCAACATCCTCGGCCAGTCGACATCGAAGCAACTGGAGAGTCTGATTCCCCTGGAGCTGATGCAGCCGGCGCACCAGGACCTCGATAACACTCGAGGCCACAACCAGACGGGCACCGGCGCCGCAGGCTACTCCGGACCGGGTCTCGCCTCGATGACGTCGGATGGCGCCTCGTCCTCGACGACCACGTCGTCGAGCGACTCGAAGAAGTTCCGCTTCCTGTAGCGGGCAGCTAGCTAGTTGAGGGCACCTGTACCATATATAATATTCCTCCCCCGTAGCCGGGGGGGTCTCTTGACGGTCTGGTGGTGGACCGGACCGTACACCCGGCCATGTCTAACTCTCGTGTGTGCTTTTGCATTTACTAAAGCAAGGATGGCATGGCTCGCGGTCTTCTGTTGTTGTAGAGTTGCAGGCATAAATTTCGGTCAGGGTTTTTTCCTTTCTATTCTACAGTCAATGCAAACAATACGGCATTAAGTAATGAATCATATGGATCATATGAAACCCTATGGTCCCTCTTGTAGCCTCGTCACTTGTAGGAAGTCGTAGGTACTTGACATATATACCACGTGAGATACGGATTGCTCGGTTGAACAGACTCCCCGGACAAGTGAGTCGGCATTTGCTTGAAGTAACTTAGCTAATGTGTGTATGCTACGGAGTACAGAGGACCTTGAAGCCCCTGAAACCCATTTTCTCTTTCCAGCCAAAGCTCGATGACGGCTGGCTGAGTCAGATCGTGCTGCTCGGAAGGCGCAGCAGGACGGGCGATGGGCCGTGACCGATGGAACTCGGACCCACGGGGATAGGGGCCCCAAGTAGACGAGGCAGGCAACCCTTCTTTCTCCTCCTTCTTCTTCTTCTCGAGGGCTGATGTTAGGTGAGTCATGACTGACTCCTGATACCTGGCGGAAACCCCCCTCTCTCTCCATTGCCTCCCACTTGCAAAGATGGAGGGATGGAGCTGTTGTTACTGCTACTATTCACCCCTATAACGTTGATTACTCCTGTAGATAGATAGGTAATTGGACGTCACCATTGCTGCCGTCACTCACGCAATATATGCCCTTTCTTCGAAAGGACACGGTGAAGAACAGTGATGAAGACAGACCCCCTTCAACCGGTTGGTAATCAACCAGCTTTGATCTGGGGTGTTCGTGAGAACAACTTGTTGCCATAACAACTACGACTCCAATAACGCCGGGGTTTTTTAGGAGAGCTTTGAGGTCGCCCGAGCTTCCACGCTCTCCGTCGTCCGACCCGACCCGGGTTTCCTTCCCATTTGCTTCTCAATATTCGCGTAGCACCGAGTCAGAGAAAGCAAAGGGTCGGAAGGTAAGTTGCCTGAAGCAGACCTTGCGGCCTGGAGGACGCAGTAGTTGGTTACCTGAGAGATGGATGGATGGCCTCTACCGGTAGGTAAGGTAAGGTAGCCAAGTTATCCATGCCCACGTGTCTTGAAGCCATCTCGTCTTCCCCCCACGAGGCAGCGGCATCATGGTCTCTGGACTCTGTCTGACCTGCTGTGCGTATTCTTGGATTTCTGACTCGCTTACGGGTATTTACTTCTTGAACATCGATGCTGGCTGGGACCAATATTGTCTGAAAAGGGGCCGGTTGAACTCACTAACCTACCTAGTTACCCTCCCCGGTAAGGGTTAGTTACTTACTGACCCTGACCCTTGTGCAATCCGGGCTGAGTGAGCTATTGATATGGCAAGTCTCGATACAACCCACTCGAGTCTTCTTCGTGAACGGTCTCGAGAAAGCGGGGAGAGGCGGGTCAGGCAGCCTCTTTTTGGGTAAGGAGAGAAGAGGGAAAGAGGTAGGTAGGTAGGTCACGGGGGGAGAAGCTTTAGGTTAGTTACCACCACGAATGCATTTCCCATATTTTAGCAGGGACGACGAGCCTGAAATCCTGCATGTACATGCTCGCAGAATGCTTTCGAACTGATCCCCGCGAGTGCAGGTGGCCCCTGACGGTCCTCACGGTATCTTCCTCATATACTTCACGTAGATGGGACATACATAGGAAGAGAAAGGGGAGGCAGAAGGGGCCATTTCGCCCGTGAGAAGAAGCCTCTGCACGACCAACTCGTCTCCTCCCTTGCCTCTCCCAAGCATGCATGCGTGAGACCTCACCATAGACTGAAGTTACAAAGCAGGGGCTCGATTCCGCAGATCAACTTGGTGTTGTTGACTCCTCTTCCTTCGTCGAAGCAAAGACTAAAACAAAAGACGTTGGTCGACTCTTCTCTGGCTCCGGTCTGTCTGTCTGTCTGCCTGACTGTCTGCCTGTTCCTCGGGCCTTGGCGTAGCGCAAGTGAGCTGCTGTATCTATCCGACGGCAATGGCTGCCGCTGCCCCTGCTGCTGCTACTGCTGCTGTTACTCCACCCCGCAAACGTGGCAACCGGATGATGGTGGTGATGATGGTGATGATGACGATGGTGACGACGCACGCGGGTAGGTACGTAGGTATGTGGGAGAGTAAGTAGTCTCGCCTCTTTCTCTCTGCCTCCGGCATCGCATCGCAAAGATGCCGATCCCAATCCGCGACGGTCTTTCGCTCGTCCATCCATCCATCCATCCATCCATCCGTCCGTCCACGCATCCCTCGCTTCCGTACGCGCGCGCACGCACGATGAAAGCCGCCCACGCCGTGCCGACCGTCGGCGGCGTTTACTCAGTCGCTGCTGCCCCCTCTTCTCTTCTTCTCTTCTTCTTCTCCTTCTTCTGCTTCTTTTCCTTCCTCTTCCCCTCCCCCTCCGCCTCCGCCTCCTCCTTCTCCCCCTTCTCCTTCTTCCTTTCCTCCCTCTTCTTCCTCTTCGCCGTCCTCGCCTCCTCCTCCTGCTGCTGCTCTCCATCACCATCATCCTCCCCATCCCCTGTCGTCATCCCCGTCATCTCTTGATCCGCCACTTCCTCCCCCTCATCTCCCTCACCTCCCTCAACCTTAACCTCAACAGCCCCCCGCGCCGCCGCCAGCACGACGCGCCTCCGGTCCCGCAGCGGCAGCGTCGACGCGCCCTGGCGCAGCGCGCGCACCAGCATCGCGAGGGCCTCGTCACCACGACTACCACGACTACCGGTACCAGCAGAAGTAGAAGTAGAAGAAGAAGCAAAGTCGTCGCTGCCGCGCAGCGCGTCCAGGTCGCCCGCCAGCTCGCGCGTCGCCTGCTGCAGGTAGTAGGCGGCGAAGGCGGCGTCGACGTCGGCGTCGGGCTTGCTGTTGGTGGTGGTGGTGGTGCCCTTCGCCATCATCATTGTGGCGTTGATGAAGTGGGTGAGTGGATGAGTGAGTGTGTGAGAGTGTGTATGTTTGCGATGCTAGTAGCCAGTATTTGAGGGTCTGGTTGTGTTGTTGGGTTTGCTTGCGGTTCTGCGGTTGCGCCGAGAGTGAGAGAAGTCGTCTTCAGAAGACAGGCAGGTCCAGTAGATGCCCGGGTAGGTGGTGGGCCTGAGATACCTGTACTCAGAGCTAAATGGATGGATGAGTGGTGTTGCGGCGTTGATATCGATCAATCTGCTGCCAATCTTATCTGAACCTCGAATGCCCCCTTCAGGGAAAAAAGTTATCAGCAGCTGGGAGGGAAGGGACGATATCGTGGGAGAGCTTGAGCATTTAGTCGTATCCCCAGCACGTGCTGCAAGTTTTCATAGACAGCTTTGAGGAAGCGTATCACAGGAAAAAGAAGAGTAGAAAAGAACTTCCGGGGACGATAAGTCAAAAAAACGATACGGCGTTACCCCCAAGATTCAAAATATAACACAAAAGTATACGACACTTGCAGGATTCGAACCTACGCGACCGAAGTCATGAGATGGCTTAAAGAATTCAAGTCTCACCCATTAACCACTATGGTAAAGTGTCTCTATCGAGGTTATTCGATGACAGATTTTGTGCTTATGTGATTATATGATAGCGTGTAAGGGATAGTGGGGGCGTTACCCACTTGGGAGGTGGTAGGTGCTCGTCCGTCTAACGAGACTTCACCTGTTGATGAGGGTGTGAGGGTGATAACGGTAACAGATCAGAAATCCTGCATGTATGTGGCCGGATTTTGGGTAGATTGTTCACACACACACTCTCTCTCTTTCTTCTCTTTGGTAGGAGTCAGGCTGGTCCTCAATATACACTACAGCGACCAATCTGCGTGTGTGTCGGACGGGCTACTTCGTGAAGCAAGACGAACGGCGTCGAAGCCCGCCGCTGAGCGACATCTTTACCGCAGTAATGACCTGCCTACCTACCTGCCTGGCTGGCTGGCTACTTACCATCGCCAAGCTGTACAGTCCCCAACAGCATTGCAAACGTCTTCCTTCCTGGGAACAATCGCAGTCACTAGCATAGTGGGTGATGAGGTAGACAGACTCTCGCCGCGACCCGCGGCCTGTGGCTCGACGCGTCTTTGCCAATAATAGAGTGACGATGCAATTCTAGCAAGCTACTTCTTACTTGCTCAGCTAACAATACCACGTACAAAAACTGATCATCTATCTATCTACCTACTGCCGCCCGCTCTCGCAGAACCAAGCCCACCCGTCTGTCCGCTCTCCGTCTGTCGTCCGAGCGATCTATCTATTACCGCGTGTTTCATCCACTCTCTCTCGTCGGCCGCAGCCAGCGGGCACGAGCTGCCGTGTCATGTGACTGACTGACTGGTAATCACCATCGTCGTCGACATCGCACGCAGGAGCAGAGCGAGCCGTCATGCAAGCTGGGGAAAACAAAAACCCATGTACCTCTCCTCTCCTTCTCGTTCTAACTCTTCCTCATCATCTTCTTCATCCTCCACTTCTTTCCGCCGTTTTGTACTCCACCACGTGCGAAGAGACGTGTCCCTTCGCGCAAACTCGTTCCCTAGGGGTATCACTTGACGGTAATGAAAGTCCAGAATGCAAAAAGGTATTACGCAAAAGAGAGCGGCCGCTCCAGCCCCGCCGGAGAGAATACTTGATCAGGGGCGGCGGGATGGAGGACCGGAAGGGGACATGGATATAATCATAATAGTAAGAAAGCCGTTGGCCCCTCTCAGAACCCCAATCATGTGCGGGTAGGGGTATATCGACCATAAGCGAGAGGTTCGACTACCCGCTCGGGGAAGAGACGGCCGCGAGCCCCAAAAGTTGCGCCGCCGGATGGATAGATGGAAGCAAATGCTGAGCGCCCACCAGACGAGTCGCTTCCGGGCGTCCTCCCATGATTGCGCGGGAAGAGGCTGATATAAGCCCCGGGGATGCAGATCGAGTACCGAAGCTGGCGTGTCGTACACATGCTCGAGTCCGCGCGTGTACGTCGATATTTCTCGTAGTAAAGATGCGATGCAATGCGAGGCGAGGCGAGGCGAGGCGAGGCTGACGCCAGACTTAGACGACGCTCGCGCCGCGAAATGAACGGCGGTGGCCCCCCGCCGCGGCCCTCTTCTCGCGGCGCACGGCCCAGCCCTTGAGCGCGAGGAGCAGGACCTCCCAGCTCATGAGCAGCCCGACCATGCCCATGGTGACCGTATAGACGAACATGGCGTCGGCGTCGTAGCGCTCGAGCAGGTGCACCGTGTCGCCGCTCGACACCATGAAGATGAGGCCGCCGGCGATAAGGCCGAACGCGGCCAGCAATTCCGTGGGCGGGCGGCTCGGCAGCGCCGACTGCGGCGGGCGCAGCCACACGAGCGCGTACGTCAGGCCGCGCGCGAACGAGGCCCCCGTCAGCAGGTTGCCCCACTGCTTGTGCACCATGCTGCTGATCATGCTCTGCTGCGTGTGCGAGCTCATCATGATGCCCAGCAGCAGGATCACCAGCGCCGGCACCGGGTTGATGGCAAAGTCGTACGTGCGCGGCGGCGCGCTCTCCTCCTCGTCCTCGCCGCTGATGGCGTCCGTCGTCGTCACGTTGAGCAGCTCGCGGATCCGCGTCGACTCGATGAGCATGGCCAGCAGGCCGCCGCCGATGAAGAGCACAGTGACAGAGAGATGCTCGAGATCCTCGGCGCTGAAGCTTTCATCCTCGCCCTTGCCGAGGTGCTCGAGGAAGATGTTGGTCGTGCCGTAGAAGAAGATGAGTGCGCCCTCGACGAATTCGGCCGTCGGCCTCCACTTCTGGTGGTCCTGCCGAGGCCGGACGTTCCATGCCCAACCGAGTTCTCCAAAGCATCCGGACCATCGTCCCAGTGTCAGGAGGCCCATCCAGAAGAAGACGCCGCCCTTGATCCAGTGCGCCAGGCCGCTGAAGACCTCGTGACCCTCGAACAAGCGGGCGTACGTGATGACGCCCGTGCAGAGGACGATGAAGCCCAGGATAAGGATGGTCCTGTCGACAAAGTCGTAGCTGAACATGATGAACCGCCACGCCCTGGTCGAAATCATGCCGGCCAGCCTGGCGATGAGCGAGTTGTTGGCCCCCTTCGATGGCAGCAGCTCGGCCGTCTTGAACTCGAGTTCCTCCATGTAGTCATCGTCGTCGTCGTGTTCGTAGTGCACCCGACGGTCGCCGAAGTCCATCGGCGGCGTCTGCTGGCTTTCGGTCAGCGTGGGGCTGCGCAGCGACTCCGTGTTCGGCTCCGTTCCCTGCCCGCTGTCGTTGGAGTGGCGGTCGTAGTGGCCGCCAGCCGTCGCATACATGGAATCGTTGAGGCGCCCGTGCTCGCGCATGTTCTCCGTGGAGACGGGGATGAAGGCACGCTGCTCCTCGCTGCGAGGCAGTTGGTGGCCTTGTCCCCAGGTTCTCCTGACGCCTGTCACACGGCCTATCAGGCTGACGATGATCTGTGCGCTCACGACCCACGTCGCCAGCCAGCCGACCTTGTGATGCGCGTTGTTGGGATACAGGTCGGGCGTGTTGGCATTGTAGCTTAAGCCGGTGAAGAGGCCGAGCGCATTCGTGAGCGCAAAGAGGAATTGCGACACCAGCGTGTACCGCGAGCGCGCAAGTGACAGCATCACCGCTAGAAGAGAAAGTCCGTCAGCCCCCGTCGCTGCTTCTCAAGAAGGCCTGTTTCTGCGAGGTGCATAGTCTGCTTACCTGTCGGCAACACGACCATCCAGCCGATAGCCATAAGTATAATGTGCGCATAGATGGCGCCCACGTGCTCGGGATGCGTCGAGTACGATGGCGGGAAGGACATTTCATCCGGAGGCGGCTGGTCGGCGCCCATGTCACCAGCGGTGCCCATGTCCATCGCGCCACCTTCGTCGTCGCCGTGTGCGAAAGCTACGGGGAGAGCCCCGATGATGGCTCCAAGCGCCAGGAGCCCGAGGGCGGTGTGTGTCGTCGACCGCATCGTTGTGCGTGGTGGAAGGTTGTCGGTATGCGTCTTTGCCTTTCTGACCAACTCTCCTAGCTAGTCGAGCGAGATGTCACACATTCCTCGCTCGGACACTGCTCCCAAGCTTCCCGTGGCAGGGGTGGGACAATTTTGTACTGGGTCGACAAGGGGGTCGACGAGGATATCTCGGTGACAAGACACGAGACGTGATGTTTTGTTAGGGTAGTACGCGCGTGAGGTTCCTCTCCGTCTCGCCGCAGAGGGGAGCGGCGGGAGAGCAGTAATTATATATCTAAGTGTCCAGGTGAGCAGGTTATTAAGTGCGCCGAGTATGGGCACCGGAGATAGGTAAGGTAAGTGGGTATCGACAGTCGCAGAGGGAGAATGCGAGCGATAGTAGCAGGTAAGCACTACAAGGCTGCAAACAGCGCAAAACAGAGAAGGAGGGGGGTATCTGATCACGGCGGGTGGGTATTTAATAAGTAGTAGGTAGGAGAGAGAGGTAATAAGCAGGCATACGGCTGGGTGGGCTTGAGAATATTTTCTACATTGTCAGCGACGGCCCCGGGGCATCGGGCGGCAGGGCTGGGCGAGCGAGGCCGAGGCCGAGGACGGGGCCGTCTCTCTCTCGAGAGAGCTCAGAGAGTCGCCTTTTTCTCACCATCAGCATCATGACGCTGCGCAGGGTGACAGCCATGACTGCCACGAGGTTCGCGGCGCGGAGCCATGCATCCATCCACCATCCATGGGCTGAGCGGGTCAGATCCGAGGGATCCGAGAGCGCTCAGTGGTTGCGGTGGTGGTGGTTTTGATGGTGGCGGCAGGTTGGTGCGCTGAGTTGTTTTAGTGAGGAAACGGCGGTATGGGTCGAGGTGAAGCAATCTGCATGTCAAGATGAGAAAAAAGAAGGACCTGGTGGGGCTCCCCGGCCCCCGAGGCAAGCTACCTACCCTGGCAAGGCGCGCTGGCACGCGCCCGCCGTCCCGCCCGTTGCTCTGCCCATCGGCGCAGGCGGCCATGACAGCATCAGTCGAGAGCCCCACCTAGCCGACGGCCTCGCAGCCTTGGCGCCCCGCCCCCCACCAATGGGAGCCCAGGTGGTCTTTCACCCGAAACGTGTTGGTGGTGCCAATCGGACTTAACTGTGCCGGTTGCCTTAGTAATGGTATTTTCGTACGTCCGTATCCGTAGTCCGTTTCACTGATGACAAACTTGATCAGTTGGTAATAGGAACAGCTCTTCCAGCCTCACATTTTCCCGTGCAAGCCGTGCTACTGAACCGTTGAAAGTTGGTTACAAATACGGATACGGATTCGTGAGTAAGTAGGGAGTTCCGTAGGTTGGGCAAGTAGGTACAGATATGCCTCAGGGATAGGGACCAATATAGGTTGAGGTAGGTACCGTAAGGAGAGAGAAAAACGCCCCAAATACCCGGTTGCAACACCCTCGTCAGTCGCAGGCGTCGTTGTAGGTACGGACATATAAGATTCGCTATCGCACGTCGCAGTCGCGCGGATAGGAATGCCGAGCTACCTCGCTCATAGGAGCAGGACAATGCGATTGGCAACCTGGGATTCCTCCTTGCGTCCCTCCAGCTCTCCTCCCTCTC